TGACCAAAAACAAAAATCAACTGTCAAAAATGATTCAAGTTTTATGACACATGGTGATCATACGCAATTTCAAAATGTCATTAACAGTTCTGTTTCTAAATTGAGCAGTAAATTTGTGCAACCAAAAAAGGAAAATGATAAATTAGTTTTAAATCCCGCAAATAATTTGGTCAGTCATGTGTCGAAAAGTACAAAATTTGTAGAAAATAGTGAGCAAAATTTAACCAGTGGTAAATTAACACATTCTGAAAAAATTACATCCGATGTTTCTTCTTCAAATGAAGTCTTCCAAAATTTTCCAGAAAAGTTTCAATCAAAATCAGGCGAAGTAATAAGCAGTTCTACCAAAGAACAAGCGTATATTTTCAAAATTAATCAATTCCAAGATGCTAATTTGGACCAAAATTATCATAAAGTTGAGAATGACCCTATGGAGATCAAGTTGACTCCAGACTTAGTGAAGAATTTGAAAATCAGTTTCGAAAAACCTAACTTAACCCTAGATTTAGCAAAAGATGATGATCAGGTAAAGAAAGAGGTTGAAAAGGTGGATGTGCAAACCATAGCTGATTTATTTGAAAACTCGAAGATCCCGGTCAGATTGCAAAAGCACACTGATCACTTAGATGGATTGAATTTGCATCAAGGTTCTGTAAAGTATATGAAGAATAATTTTGAAAAAGCAACATCGCCAGTTTCACAAAATCAAAAAGCAATTTCTGAAAAACCTAAAACTTCTTTGGTGCGATCCATGAGTGCAAGATATGAAAGAAGATCAAAAGGCATGGAGGCAGATCTTTTAGACATTGATGATTCAATATGGAGTACGGTAACGGATGGAGGCGACTGTATTGACAAAAATGTGGCAAAGGATGAGAAATCTGGTGAAATTAGGGATACTGGTGATAAAATTTTTGGTGAAGATGAAGTGTGCACAGTGAATGTTAAAACAGCTAGTAAATATTTCGAAAATTTCAAGGAAAACGAAAATGATGGGTGTAAACTTGATCGTGTTCCAATTGTCGATATGGGTGATGTTGTGGATTCCTTTGAAGAGGTTAGTTTCATAAAAATTTACTAAATTATTAAAGAATAATTAATTATAATTTTTCGGGCGGAGAAAGATGTATTAGTGATAACAAACAAGTTTTTTTAACATACTTCAGTCCAGTTATTAGAAATAAAACTGAATTATATTTAAATAAAATAACAGGCTTCCATACGTTTGGTGTCCCAATTTGGCTCTTATTTTCCAGTAGACTATAATATACAAATAATATAATAAATATTTAAGATTTATAAAACCACCAATAATAAAATATATTATGCAATAAACTAAACTATAATGCAAGAAATAATAGAATACAATTAAAAAATATATTTTTAACTTATTACATTAATTTTATATCATATTTTATAACTGTCGTATTAACATTTTTTTAAAACATTCTTAAGTTTTATTTTTAGTTTGGATGTCTGTTAAAAACACTTTGTTTTTAATTCGAAATAAAGTGAATCAAAGTTTATTTCTGAATGCTTATAAAGAGATAATTTTTAGTTAATTTCTAAACCTTCCTCTTTTTTTTCAAAAAAATTATTAATTTTTTTTTTATTCTTGTTTCGGGGATATGGGATGTCCTCTTCTTCAGGAACTTTAGTATATTTTATATTGAACTTTTGCATAGAATTTTGTTTATGATATTAATTTTAGAACTCAAGCCTTCTTTTGACTTTAAAAAAATATTTGATTAATTCATTAATTTTATTTTTATTAATTTATTTCATTATGCATTTCGGAGTTATGGGATGTTTCCTTCCTTAAGAATTATGAAACTTTTTTTTAAATTAGGCACTTATTAAAAATCAAATTAATAATTTTGCTAAAATTATATTTGAAAATACGTCGAATTATGGATGTTTATATTTGTGAATAGTAAAAACTTTTAATATTTATACAAAAATAATTTTAATACTTTTACTAGAAGTTTTAAATTTTATTTTAGGTTTAAAACTACTAGTTATAGTAAATTGTGTATGAACTTTTCTGTCAACAAATAGATTTCAGTAACTTTCCTAATTTTTTTTAAACCATTTTTATAATTATTGTTCCTAATTTTGATTCAATATTTCTAGTTCAAAATATAAAACTTATTTATTTCACTGAATAGACGATAAGACTTACATTTATCGGAACGTGAATTGTATCGGTTATCACAAAAAACACATTTTTCCATAAACAACCAACTTTATCTTAATCCTACACACTACTCTAACCGGATATCAAGAGTTGATTCTCAAATCGCTATTCGTTAAAAACTTTCATGGATTTCATTCTTTGGCCAATCATTTTACTCGGAACGGAATTTTGTTATAAAATTTCTTATGTATGTAGCCTGCATTTATTTCAACATTGCAATATAATGCAGTTTTAACTTAAGCGTGTGTTCTTGATGCGTTAATTGGTTTGTTTTAATTACGTAATTAAATGCGTAGACCAATAGCAACTAATAGAACGTCATGAAGTAGTTCTCTGGTATAGTTTGTGTAGATTATATTGTTTGTGCATTGTTGAAAAGTAAAATGAAGAGTTTTAAACCGTTGAGGAAATAGTGTGTACCAGAAGTCTTAGTTATTTGAAATTATTTTTCAATTATTTCGAACAGTTTCAGTAGACAGGATTTTTTCTTAGAAAAATATGCGACAGTGTTAGTGTTTCAAAATTATGTAAAACTCATCAAAGTTTAATTTATAATTATTATTTGGAGTCAGCTGCTAACATGGATTCCGAAGTAAGATTTTTCTAATTTACTTATTTTTTATATAAATTGCAGACATATATATTTTAAGTTTTTTTTTGCTATACAAATGTAACATATGATCAAAATGCTGCTTATTGCTTCCTATTTTAACTAGAAATTACTGCAATTGGACTCCTTAGTTAATTAGAATTTTTTTTCCAACCATAATATTAAAACTGTTTGCTGTTCTAATATATCTTGATTGGTACACCACCATTTGGATTTCCTTATCTGATAAGTAGAATCAACTAATAAAAAAACAGATTTCCACAGAACCATTTTTTCTATGATTTTATATCATCAACAATGGATGTACATACATAAAACTAATTTCGACATTTTATTTCTATTGGAGATGGCATATGATCAAAAGGCCAAATCTCTAAAGTAAACAATAAAGAATCTCTAAAAAAAAATTTTTTTTTGTGCTTTGCGTTTCAAGATTAATACATCTGAATTATACTCTTTATTGATTTATACGTTTCGATCTACATCGTGGCCGTCATTCGGTCCAAAATCAATTGAAACAGACTACAGTTTACTTGTTAAAAACCTATATTATAGAAACCCTTGATTATAGAAATACGAGAATTTAGGATTATTTTAAAATTATGCATATTGTATAAAAGTAATCAAAGTAAAATTTTCAAATTCAATGTGCTTTTAGTTGTGTTGATTGATTTCTTAGCTGAAGGGCCAGATAGATTTTGTGACTCTTTTAACCAGACTGCCCTTTTATTCCTGAAGACTTTCATTGATCTTAAACCTGAAACCCATACTACTATGCATCGTTATCAGATGTAATAGTTTTGACATAAAGATTTTCCAATATATCAAAAAGTTTTATCTTAAACCAGTGATTTCCAAATTGGTCTGTATGGAACCCCAGGGGTCCATAACAACTTTCAAAGGGTCCACGCCAACAAAAAGGAATTATGGAGATACACGATAGTGAATTACAACACACTTTATTAAAATCTATTTTATTATTATTATTAAGTCAATTAATAAATGTCTTAACTTGGATTAGTATCTTCACTTTAAATGTTTAATACTAAACGTTAGTATAAATACAAATTTATAAAAAAATCGATATGCTCTAAAAATGGGGGTCAATGCAAAGTCTAAGGGATCCAGACACAAACTTGTTTGGGAACCTATACTATAGACTATAAAGAATTTGGCAGAGGGTGTCAAATGTATTTTTTGCAAATTTGAGGAAACTGAGGCCTTGTTGCTTTTTGCGAAATTTATAAATGTGCTCGTTCGTTCTCTTTATTTATCTGTTTAGAAATTAGAAAACGTCTTTTAGTATTAAATAATATAGACAGTTATCTACAAAAATAAAAATAAGTGTCATCTATAGATTCTCTTTAACTCGAATATAACCAAAAAGGTAAAGAAAGGTTGACGAAAATCACAGGACGTTAACTTCAAGTTAATTTTGTATAGTGATTCAATTTGCCATCTCAAGCTTATTTTATAAAAAATTTTACTTATACTAATTTATTTTGATAATATACATGTTTTTAATATATATTTTTAATTATATATGTAGTTATCAAAAATTATGAGAAATTTTCTTGTGAGTTAAATAATTGTGGATAACGTCATTATTAAATCTGATTCAAATGTTACTATTTAAAAAAAAAAATCCACTGTAGAAGTAGCATTGTGTATATCTTTTTTCTTAATAAAGTCTGCTATTTTTACAAGTAATGTATCATATACGTATGCAATTCGACATAAAGTTTTTATATAAAAGGCCTAAATCAGTGTTTTCAAACGTGTGGGACCAATGCTCCAGGGGAAACAATTTTCTTGTTAAGGGGCCAATTTAAAAATGACACTTTTGGTTTGGTACTAGATAACAGTGACAAATTTAACAAAAATGCAATTTAAAAAGTGCCATCTAAAACTTAATTCACTCCTGTAAATTTAAATAATTAGTTCTAGTAATAAAATTAATTTTATTTCTCCTGAATAGATATTTCAAGTAAGCTAGAATTCGAGTTGAAGAGACCTTTCAATGAATTTTTGCATTTATAGCATCATGCGCTGTAGCCTGATTATTTTTTACCATCAACTATTAACGTGCCTTGTTTATTTTTAATTATTATTATTATTATTTTTATTATTGTGCATCTTTTTGTTTGAAGCATGTGCCTGCAATTGAATGTGTTTTTATTTGCATTTTGCCAGAAACAAAATTACTGTATTGAAAGCTCTAGACAGAATCAAGAGGCCAACCTGAAGAATCATCAAACAGGACAAAAACCACCACCCGTTATTAACACGGGAGTTTCAATAAAACAACTGGTAAGTGTATAGAAAAATTAAATAAAAAATGGGGTTTTATTTCAAATTAACTTTTTGTTTTTCATGTTACATTTAAAAACATTTATATGTTAGTTCATTTTCATTCATTCATTCATTAGGTCATTTTATGTTTATGTTTCATATTTGTGTTGTCCAAGGATCGTTTAGGTAGATTTGATTAAAATTAGAAAAAAGATTAACTAAACTATTTTTTTTTAGTAATTTGGAATGATATATAATTTTTTTGCATTATTGATCACATATATATTTATCATATTTTTATACGAATATTGATAAAATCTTACGAGGCCTAATTATTTAAAATCTACAAATTTTTCAATAAAATAATTCTTAGTTTGGGTGTAATTGCTCTAGTTGCTAAAAAATTTATTAGATATTTCCGACCTGCAAAATTTTTCATTTACTGTTATTCTAACCCATTTTTTTTTTCTAAAAAATTTTTTTTAATTCATTATTTATTTAAATCAAACCAAACTTAAGAATCATTTAAAAAAAATTTTTTTTTCATCTGGTCATAATATCTCAAGTTTTCAGTGGAGACAATTATAAATAAATAACTTCTTTTAAACATAAAATTATTGATATTTCTTTTACTATAATTTAAACAGTGGTCGACAAACGTACTAGCGAAAGAGCTCAATATGACAATATGTAAAACAAACCAAAAAAACAAAAATCAGCAAACGCTAGTTTTTCAGCTAATCGTAAGTCAAAAATATTATTCCAAGCGTTAAAAATGATCATGACATTCTTCTTGAAGGCATTTAAAGCAGACAACTCAGGTAAATCAGCTTTTACCTCAAAATTGACGAATTTTACGCAAATACACAATTATCACCATTCAGTAATTTTAAATTCAGTAAATGCATTTTTGAATTGCAAACACACTTTGCAAGAAAAAATTCTCTGCTGAGTTGAAAACCCAATCGTTTTCAATTTATTTTTACTTCACTTTGATTTTTTCAAGTCCAGAAAATTGATTGAATTGATTCAAAAATCCTTCTCAAGGAAAAATGCTTTGATTTTCCGAAGTTGTCTTTTGGCAGCAACCATATCTTTTTATGAAGCAAAAAATCAGTAAATTACTCCCCATTTCAAATAAACATTCCATGAATTGGTGTTGATTGAGAGCTCGAGCTAAAATGTCTTTGATAACGGTAATCATTTTAATACCATATATTTACAAATTTCATTCTAAAATGCTTGCGCACAAAGCGCTTCTTAATGAATGATACAATGGTGAACAAGATTCTCTTGATTAATTCTTTCTTTCAAAATACTAATAAATTCATTAAAATCTTATGATTTATTACGAATTTATCGACGACCCTAGACTCAATTATAATTATACACATATGTTCTACATATATTCTTTATTTGTTTGATCTATGAGTGATCTTGATCTTTATATTTTTCAAATACATTACAAGCATCATAAAGTTCTTCTTTAGAGTTTTAATGAAACTAAGCTCTTAGAAAAGCGAAATTTGTGTCGCATCTTTTAGGGGGCGTCCATTAATCTCGTGGTCGATTTTTTAAGAATTTTTTGACCTTCCCTCCCCGTTGGTGATACGTGGTAATATCCAAAATTGCCCATTTTTTATTTTTTTAAATAAATATTTGGATTTTTTTAAAAATCTGGTAAAAAATAAATACACGTTATATCTTACTATACCTTTCCTCCCCCACATGTTATTTTGTGATGTTTTGTCAAACCACCCGCCTCCCCTTAAGAACCTCACGTGATTAATGGACTCCCTCTTACGTAAAACCAGTAATCAATGCCAGAGTCATTCTAAAATACGAAAAGACATCGGAGCCATTTTTGCCGATCACTGTTCTAAGGTTTTTTTTTAATACTAGTCCAGTTTATTATGTAAATAATATGGTTACATATTCTTCTATAGCCTTCCGTCCGACCTACCAAACACCTAGCCCAAGGTCTTCACGCGCCTTAACTATATTCTACTGTAAAGTTACCCTTCTTTTAATATCGCTCTTCAAAATGTTACTATAAGTGTAATAGTCATTTTTGGTTATCAGTTTTACCCATCCTATTAGGCATTAAGTAGTTCAAAATAATTGGCACTGAATCGATGCATTTATAAATAAAATATAGGTGAAGTTGTTCCAATGTTGTATTGACATCTACGCTATTTGGACCATCATCCAAGCACCATAGATATAGCTTTTTGATAGTTTCGTGACTTCCAACACACTACATAAAGAAAAAATGATTTATCAAAATAAAATTGATGCACCGAGATTCCAAAATACCATTTGGGTTACTGGAGACATAACATGGCTATGTTTTCTGAAAATTGGCCAATTAATGTTAATAAAAATGTTATACAAATTTTGGGCAAGTTCAAATCATTTATGACCACTATGGGGCCAATTCTCTGATAGAATAGAATTGCAATGGTAACGTTTATGACAGGGTCTATATTCGTATGAATTGTTAGTAACGAGCGGTCAAAATCCTATGTATTTGCTGTGCGATCAGGCGTTATACACATTAAACCTGACTTCACGTATGTGTTGTCACAGTGACATCAGACAAGTGCACTTATGATAAAATTGATATTTGACGTTTGTGCATTTTGTAGGTTAGATTTTATGTGTGAAATGTCTAATCGCACAGAAAATACATAGCTTTTTGACAGTTCGTAATTACTAGGGTTTATCGGTTTTCAAAAACCGGTTTTTTGGCGAAAATTATGGAATTTCAAAACCGGTTTTTTAGTGAAAAAAGTCGGTTTTCACTGTATAAATGGAATATGATAAATATAGCCAAATATAAAAGATAGATGAAAGCGTTTTGATTCTTGAACTCATATCGTTTCAATAGCATTTGATATCTTATCAGTCTTCAATGGTTCCCAGAAAGGTTTTGTATATAATAATTTAGAGTTTTATACCAGTGTATATAATTAATTATTAATATTATATATATAATTAATTAATTATATATATATATATATATATAATTAATTAATTTGAATCTGTGTGGCTTCTTCTTGAAGAAGTAACTTGCTCTACTCAAACTTAAAAAAAAGAGTTTTAAACCAAAGAAGCCACAAATAAAAGAACAAAAAACTTAGAATTATTATATAAGACTTTAAAAACAATTAAGCATAATTTGGTCGCAAGTATGAGGGTATTTTCTATTTCAGGAAATTTTGTGAGTTATCAGAGGACACGTTTAAGTAGCAATTCGATAGACGTTCCCAATTTTTTTAAAATCATATTTTATTAAATAAAAAACAATTAGAATGTTTAAAATTAATTAATTAAAATTGCTCGGAACAGAAATAAAAATTTACCTTATTTGTTTTTAAAACTAAAATTGATATTAACAAGTATGTATCAACATGTATCTAATATTTTTTTATTTAAAAATGTATTATTTTTATTTATTCGAAATCTTTCCTTTCACTATCATAAAATATTTTCATTCTTATAGGTAAAAATGATGCATAAATAACGAATAATTATTTTCAAAGTTATTTAATCAAGATAAACTATTATTTTTAGTTCTACTAATTAAAATTAAAATAATTTTGTTTACTATTTATAAAATTGAACAATAAATAAATTCAGTCAAATACTATTCTAAATTACACTAGGGTTTGGGCGTGTTTCCATACAGAATTGGCCCCACCCTGGTATTTAAATAATTTTGATGCCAATTTGTAGGTATTTTCGAGAAAATCCGATATACCAAATTTCAAATCCGTAGCTCATCATTTGGCCGAGATATCATTGAAAATGTGTGAAAGTGGCCCCTTTTTTCAAAGTCGTTTTATGTCGCAACTATGAAAGATATCGACAAACAAATAACGGGACTCTATTCACATCGGTGTGTACTATATTATTGATAACAAATATTGTTTAATAATTATTTTTTAGTGCATGAAAAATTGAAAATAATGTTTTGTTTTGAATTTTCCGGTAGTGTGGTTGTTTGGACTAATTTTTAATTGGCATCATTAGAAAGACTATTGAATTTTCTTTTAGTTTGCAAAATTTAGTTTTATTTCACGTGGTAGAACACATTCAAAAATAGGAAAAACCTGAGCAAGTACACGCTCGCGCTCATATACCCGTGTAGCACCCGTGTAAGTCGTCTCTCATTCGCAATGACTAGCAACAGCATTGCTCGCCGCGCATCGTGATAAATTAAAACATTTTTCTAATAAAACACAAAATATTGTATATGTATAATAATAACTATATTTTTATTTAATTAAATATATATTATTTATGTATTGCACAAGTATATTATTTAATCATCTTTAATAATTAATTAATTAATTATTACCTATTAATTAATTATTAATTATTAATTCATTATTAATTATTAATTAATATTAATTATTAATTATCACTAAATAAATAAAAAATATACATAATAATAGTATATCGGTATATGATTTCTATTCATGCTACAGCAATGTATAGAAACGCAAGTATACTAATAAGTTAGTCTGAAAATATTTTAAATAATATCTTGAAGTTTTTTTTAAAATTAAATAATATATAAAAATATATTGAATAGAATATCTCTACCTATAAATACTCATAATAATTGTTGAACTACTGTACTATTGTGTATCATCCTTAATTAAAACGATTTCGCGGCATTATTAATTGTATTATGGTAATAACTAAATTATACACTAATCAAATTAAATTGCCACTAAAATATAAGAAAAGTGCAAAATCAAAATCTGGTACAAAAGTGTAGAGTTCCCAAACACCACACAAAAATTAAAAAAAAATCATTATTTATTTAATAATTATCGAAAAGTTTGTGATTAGTTAAATTCCAGAATTATATTAATTTTATGCTGTCTGCATTTTGTTATCTTATGTGTGGTTTTTGCCGCGAAAGTTCAAATTTCGTTCTAATTAAGGATTATGCACAATAGTATTGTAGTTTATAACAATTATTATGAGTATTTATAGGTAGAGAT